AATATATATATATATATATACACATATAATATATAAATATATTTACATATGTATGTATATATATATGTATATTTATGTATTTATATGTACATATATGTATATTTATATGTATTTATGTATTATATATGAATGTGTATATATTATACATATATATATATATATATAATATATATATATATATATATATATATATATATAAGTATATATATATTATATATTATATATATATATATATATATTTATATATATATATATATATATATATATATATATATTATATATATATATATATATATAATATTAATTATACATTGGAAATCAATGATGAGTTAGGCATGAATAATAGAATATATAAATATAAAAGAGTTTAATCTGAGCTGTCCTGGCACAACGGGATGCTTAGATAACATTTTTCCCGTTATTTGAAAGCACCTTCAAATTTATTTTTTTCGTCGACAGTTCTCACTCTTGGCGACAGTTTGTTTATTACACACATATATAAAGTCCTGTAAATTTTTCGAACTTTCGTCGTGTTGTCAGTTCCCGCCCTCTGGTGTCACGCTGCCTTGGTCTTGACGCTTGGCGGTGGACGGAGAGCAGCGCTGAAGACCATGGAAAAGACCCTAAAGAGAAGTGGTCTTTGGTCCGGAGGGCGAAGAGGGGGGGGGGGGGGGTCACGCCTTCATCAGCTGTCGGGAAGCCATCCAGCACATCTTCATGCCCGCCGCTGCATACACGCACGTGCTGACGCTGGCGGTGGAAGTAGGGTCAAAATTTTACTTTCTATTTTGATGATGGTGGTGGTGGTGGGTGGTGATGGTGGTGATGGTGGTGATGATGATGGTGATGGTGATGACGATGATGATGGTGATGATGATGGTGGTGGATGGATGAGATTGATGATGATGATGATGATGATGTGGTGGTGGGTGGTGGTGGTGATGATGATGATGATGATGATGATGATGATGATGATGATGATGATGATGATGGTGATTGATGATGATAGTAATGGAATGGTGGTTATTCGCGAACTCAACCACCATGATTAAGATTTTGACAGTGATGATATTAGTAAAGTTAATTAAAATATCTTTAAATGATAACGACATATAAAATCCGCTTTAATATCAAATGAGTGAATAATTTTCGATATGCCAGATTTAGAAAAGATTGCGACCATCTTTTACGTTCATAAATTTTACGGAATTATCGTTATCTGATGCATGTATATTTCATCACGAACACCAGACTGCATAGCGTGCAAACCATCGCATAAACACACACGCACATATATGTGTATATGTGTGTAAGTAAATATTTGCATGCATGTATGTATGTATGTATGCGTACATATATCATATAGATATAATATACATAAATATATAATATATTGATAAATATATATATATATATATATATATTATATATATATATATATATATATATTATATAAACACATGCACACGTATACACACACATATACACATACACATACATATACACACACAAAAGACACAGCACACAAACACACACACGTGTATATATATATGTAATATGTGTATATATCTATGTGTATATTTGTGCATATATATAATATATATATATATATATATATATATATATATATATATATATATATATATATATATATATATTAATATATATATATATAATATATGTAGATGTATATTTATTCACACACACACACATACTGTATATATGTGAATAATATATATATATAGAGTATTTGTGTATATTTCTATATATATGTATATATTTTGTATATATGGATATATGCATATTTGTATATATAGATATATATGTATGTATACATACATGTGTGTCTGTGTGCGTGCGTGTGTGTGTGTTTATACGAAACACACTAACACAATAATGTGAGTGTGAGTGTGTGCATGTGCGTGTTGTACTTTTTCATACATGCATATTTCATGAAGTAAACACGATCTGCTAAATGTCTGTTTTCACATTATATTGATTCATTTTGTATGCAATGAGATGATAGTTACTTACAGTTGTGGGAGAGAGGTTTTCATATGTTTGTAGACGTAAACATATGCGTGTATATACTAATATCTTCTCGCTAAAATTACATGCAAAAAAAAATACCACGTCTATTAAACGCGCGCACACACTCGTTCACGTTTTGACCTTGGGAGGGCCATGACGTCATCATTTTCAGCCGCCAAGAGGATGGTATTGCGATAAGCTCGTATTCTTCAGAGGATGGAATTGCGATAAGCTCGTATCCTTCAGAGGATGGAATTGCGATAAGCTCCTATCCTTCGAACGTCTCAAAACTTGTTCGTTCTACCGTTAATTGCGATTCTCATGCACCGGATCCGTAAAAAAAAACACACAATACGTTAATCTTCTTAATTTTGAAGCTCGTTCAAATGATGTCATTTGTGATTAGATGAATATATTGTTCAGAAATAACTAAAATAAAAACTTAAAGCCAATAATTAGTAAAACTTAC